ACACACACTCACATACACATATGAATATACATAAGCATTTTTTTTCATTTTAACTTCATGCCACAGACAATAACTTCATGTTTCAAGCTTTTGAAAGAGCTAAAACCTCACCTCTAAAGTTTAAAAATAGCTGCCACTTACATCCTTAAGATACTTAAACTCTCTAAGCTTCAGTTTAGGCCGGGCATGGTGGCTCACGCCTCTAATCCTAGCACTCTGGGAGGCCCAGGCGGGCGGATTGTTTGAGCTCAGGAGTTCGAAACCAGCCTGAGCAAGAGTGAGACCCCGTCTCTACTAAAAAAAACAGAAAGAAATTATCTGGACAACTAAAAATATATAAAAAAAAAATTAGCCAAGCATGGTGGCGCATGCCTGTAGTCCCAGCGACTCGGGAGGCTGAGGCAGGAGGATCGCTTGAGCCCAGGAGTTTGAGGTTGCTGTGAGGTAGGCTAATGCCACAGCACTCACTCTAACCAGGGCAACAGAGCGAGACTCTGTCTCAAAAAACAAACAAACAAACGAAAAACAGTTTATTCGTCCATAAAATAGGAATAATACCTAATCCTTAACAAAACAGCTTTCTTTTTCCATCACCATATCAACCTGACTACATCAGCCTTCTTAAAACAGAAAAATGCCGTGAATCCTATCAAAAGCAGATCCCTCTGCACTAAACTGCACCCTACCTCCTCCTGACGTCAAGATTTAGTTCCTACAACTGCCTTCTTTTTCTCCAGCACCTTTACTTTCTTCTTCTTCTTCACAGGATTAGTCCAGTCATCATATTCTGTGTCTGGACCTAACTCCCCCATCTCCCCTCTTGGTAACAACCCATTTTCCAGTTCTCCTTCACAGCACACGTCCTCAAAACCAGTCTCTGTCCTCAGTCTCTGCTCCCTTGCTTGCCAAGCTCTCTTCAACCCACACCAGCAGGACTTCCATTCTTACTGCTCTACAGAAGCTTCTTGTCAAGGACACCAATGACCTCTGTGATGCCAAACCCAATGGGTTCCTCTCTGTTCTCATCTGACTCTCCTTTCCTTCCTCACTGACACTCCTCTGTCTCCACTACTGGCTCCTTCTGTGCCCAGCTTCTAACTGCTTAGATCCTAAAAGGCCTTATCTTCCCCTGTCTCTCAGTAGATGATCCTAACCAAAGCTTGCAGCTTTAAATGTCATCTCTATGCTGATGACTGAAAATTTTAATTTTAATCTGGGCTCCATAGTCCAAAGGTAGTATGGTGCATGCTTAAGAATATGGGCTTTGGAGTCAGACTATCTGGGTTCAAAGCTCAGTCTTAACACTTTTGGTAATGACTTTGGACAAATGCAAAG